GTAACAACTCGCCTAGGCCGGCGCCTTCAGTAACAACTAACCTAGGCAAGCGCCTTCAGTAACAACTCACCTAGGCAGGCGCCTTCAGTAACAACTCGCCTAGGCAGGCGCCTTCAGTAACAACTCCCCTATGCAGGCGCCTTCAGTAACAACTCACCTAGGTAGGCGCCTTCAGTAACAACTCACCTAGGTAGGCGCCTTCAGTAATAACTCACCCAGGCAGGCACCTTCAGTAACAACTCACCTAGGCAAGCGCCTTCAGTAACAACTCCCCTAGGCAGGCGCCTTCAGTAACAAATCACCTAGGCAAGCGCCTTCAGTAACAACTCGCCTAGGCAGGCGCCTTCAGTAACAACTCTCCTAGGCCGGCGCCTTCAGTAACAACTCCCCTCGGTAGGCGCCTTCAGTAACAACTCACTTAGGCAGGCGCCTTAAGAAACAACTCGCCTAGGCAGGCGCCTTCAGTAACAACTCGCCAAAGCAGGCGCCTTCAGTAACAACTCACCTAGGCAGGCGCCTTCAGTAACAACTCACCTAGGCAGGCGCCTTTAGTAACAACTCACCTAGGCAGGCGCCTTCAGTAACAACTCCCCTAGGCAAGCGCCTTCAGTAACAACTCCCCTAGGCAAAGGCCTTCAGTAACAACTCGCCTAGGCAGGCGCCTTCAGTAACATCGCCTAGGCAGGCGCCTTCAGTAACAACTCACCTAGGCAGGCGCCTTCAGTAACAACTCCCCTAGGCAGGCGCCTTCAGTAACAACTCGCCTAGGCAGGCGCCTTCAGTAACAACTCGCCTAGGCAGGCGCCTTCAGTAACAACTCGCCTAGGCCGGCGCCTTCAGTAACAACTAACCTAGGCAAGCGCCTTCAGTAACAACTCACCTAGGCAGGCGCCTTCAGTAACAACTCGCCTAGGCAGGCGCCTTCAGTAACAACTCCCCTATGCAGGCGCCTTCAGTAACAACTCGCCTAGGTAGGCGCCTTCAGTAACAACTCGCCTAGGCAGGCGCCTTCAGTAACAACTCGCCTAGGCCGGCGCCTTCAGTAACAACTCCCCTAGGCAGGCGCCTTCAGTAACAACTCACTTAGGCAGGCGCCTTAAGTAACAACTCGCCTAGGCAGGCGCCTTCAGTAACAACTCACATAGGCAGGCGCCTTCAGTAACAACTCACCGAGGCAGGCGCCTTCAGTAACAACTCACCTAAGGAGGCACCTTCAGTAACAACTCACCTAGGAAGGCGCCTTCAGTAACAACTCGCCTAGGCCGGCGCCTTCAGTAACAACTCGCCTAGGCCGGCGCCTTCAGTAACAACTCCCCTAGGCAGGCGCCTTCAGTAACAACTCGCCTAGGCCGGCGCCTTCAGTAACAACTCCCCTAGGCAGGCGCCTTCAGTAACAACTCGCCTAGGCCGGCGCCTTCAGTAACAACTCGCCTAGGCAGGCGCCTTCAGTAACAACTCGCCTAGGCCGGCGCCTTCAGTAACAACTAACCTAGGCAAGCGCCTTCAGTAACAACTCACCTAGGCAGGCGCCTTCAGTAACAACTCGCCTAGGCAGGCGCCTTCAGTAACAACTCCCCTATGCAGGCGCCTTCAGTAACAACTCGCCTAGGTAGGCGCCTTCAGTAACAACTCGCCTAGGCAGGCGCCTTCAGTAACAACTCGCCTAGGCCGGCGCCTTCAGTAACAACTCCCCTAGGCAGGCGCCTTCAGTAACAACTCACTTAGGCAGGCGCCTTAAGTAACAACTCGCCTAGGCAGGCGCCTTCAGTAACAACTCACATAGGCAGGCGCCTTCAGTAACAACTCACCGAGGCAGGCGCCTTCAGTAACAACTCACCTAAGCAGGCACCTTCAGTAACAACTCACCTAGGAAGGCGCCTTCAGTAACAACTCACCTAGGCAGGCGCCTTCAGTAACAACTCACCTAGGCAAGCGCCTTCAGTAACAACTCACCTAGGCAAGCGCCTTCAGTAACAACTCACCTAGGCAGGCGCCTTCAGTAACACCTCACCTCAGGCGCCTTCAGTAACAACTCACTTAGGCAGGCGCTTTCAGTAACAACTCACCTATGCAGGTGCCTTCAGTAACAACTCACCTAGGCAGGCGCCTTCAGTCACAACTCACTTAGGCAGACGCCTTAAGTAACAACTCGCCTAGGCAGGCGCCCTCAGTAACAACTCGCCTAAGCAGGCGCCTTCAGTAACAACTCGCCTAGGCAGGCACCTTCAGTAACAACTCGCCTAGGCAGGCGCCTTCAGTAACAACTCGCCTAGGCAGGCGCCTTCAGTAACAACTCGCCTAGGCAGGCGCCTTCAGTAACAACTCGCCTAGGCCGGCGCCTTCAGTAACAACTCGCCTAGGCAGGCGCCTTCAGTAACAACTCGCCTAGGCAGTCGCCTTCAGTAACAACTCGCCTAGGCAGGCGCCTTCAGTAACAACTCACCTAGGCAGGCGCCTTCAGTAACAACTCGCCTAGGCAGGCGCCTTCAGTAACAACTCGCCTAGGCCGGCGCCTTCAGTAACAACTCGCCTAGGCAGGCGCCTTCAGTAACAACTCGCCTAGGCAGGCGCCTTCAGTAACAACTCGCCTAGGCAGGCGCCTTCAGTAACAACTCGCCTAGGCAGGCGCCTTCAGTAACAACTCGCCTAGGCAGGCGCCTTCAGTAACAACTCGCCTAGGCCGGCGCCTTCAGTAACAACTCGCCTAGGCAGGCGCCTTCAGTAACAACTCGCCTAGGCAGGCGCCTTCAGTAACAACTCGCCTAGGCAGGCGCCTTCAGAAACAACTCGCCTAGGCAGGCGCCTTCAGTAACAACTCACCTAGGCAGGCGCCTTCAGTAACAACTCGCCTAGGCAGGCGCCTTCAGTAACAACTCACCTAGGCAGGCGCCTTCAGTAACAACTCACCTAGGCATGCGCCTTCAGTAACAACTCACCTAGGCAGGCGCCTTCAGTAACAACTCACCTAGGCAGGCGCCTTCAGTAACAACTCGCCTAGGCAGGCGCCTTCAGTAACAACTCACCTAGGCAGGCGCCTTCAGAAACAACTCGCCTAGGCAGGCGCCTTCAGTAACAACTCACCTAGGCAGGCGCCTTCAGTAACAACTCGCCTAGGCAGGCGCCTTCAGTAACAACTCACCTAGGCAGGCGCCTTCAGTAACAACTCACCTTGGCAGGCGCCTTCAGTAACAACTCACCTAGGCAGGCGCCTTCAGTAACAACTCACCTAGGCAAGCGCCTTCAGTAACAACTCACCCAGGCAGGCGCCTTCAGTAACAACTCACCCAGGCAGGTGCCTTCAGTAACAACTCACCCAGGCAGGCGCCTACAGTAACAACTCACCCAGGCAGGCGCCTTCAGTAACAACTCACGTAGGCAGGCGCTTTCAGTAACAACTCACCTAGGCAGGTGCCTTCAGTAACAACTCACCTAGGCAGGCGCCTTCAGTAACAACTCACTTAGGCAGACGCCTTAAGTAACAACTCGCCAAGGCAGGCGCCTTCAGTAACAACTCGCCTAAGCAGGCGCCTTCAGTAACAACTCGCCTAGGCAGACACCTTCAGTAACAACTCGCCTAGGCAGGCGCCTTCAGTAACAACTCGCCTAGGCAGGCACCTTCAGTAACAACTCGCCTAGGCAGGCGCCTTCAGTAACAACTCGCCTAGGCCGGCGCCTTCACTAACAACTCGCCTAGGCAGGCGCCTGTCAGAACATTGTGGCTTATGCTGTTGTGTAGGCTATAGTGGGGTATCCCATAGGGGGTACAACCAATTAGGGTTTCATATTTGTACTCACTTCATTTCATAGTCCATCCATTCTCGTTCTCATTTTCATATGGAATCAGAGCAGGTCCCCTCCTAGGGACTGTTCCTTGGGCCCACCGAAGCGCGCCTCGAGTCGCGCCTGCCTTTTTTTTTTTTTTTTTTTTTTTAGCGGCCCGTCGAGTCGCACCTAGCGGCCCGTCGCGCCGCCCTTACGGTCGCGTCGAGCCGCCCTAGCGGCTGCGGCGCGCCGCCCTTTTCCCGGCCCGTCGCCGCCCTTACCCGCGGCTTTGCGCCGCCCTCACCGGCGGCTTCGCGCCGCCCCTACCTGCGGCTTCGCGCCGCCCAGGCCCGTCGCCGCCCTTCCCGCGGCTTCGCGCCGCCTCTACCTGCGGCTTCGAGCCGCCCCGGCCCGTCGCCGCCCTTACCTGCGGCTTCGCGCCGCCTACGGCCCGTCGACGCCCTTTTCTGCGGCCCCGCCGCCTCTCTCGTTGCGGCCCCGCCGCCCGTCTTCGTGGCCCCGCCGCCATCTCTCGCTGCGGCCCCGCCGCCACTCACTGCGGCCCCGCCGCCCATCTCAGCGGCCCCGCCGCCCGTCTTCGCGGCCCCGCCGCCTCTCTCGCTGCGGCCCCGCCGCCTCTCACTGCGGCCCCGCCGCCCTACTCAGCGGCCCCGCCGCCCGACTTCGCGGCCCCGCCGCTTCTCTCGCTGCGGCCCCGCCGCCTCTCTCGTTGCGGCCCCGCCGCCCTTCACTGCGGCCCCGCCGCTTCTCTGCAGCGGCCCCGCCGCCCGTCTTCGCGGCCCCGCCGCCTCACTACCCAGCGGCCCCGCCGTCCTTCTGCAGCGGCCCCGCCACTCCTCTACAGCGGCCCCGCCGCCCTACATCAGCGGCCCAGCCGAGCCGCCCAACAGCAGCGCAGCCGAGCCGCCCAGCAGCAGAGCAGCCGAGCCGCCCCGCCGCCGAGCCGCACTGCAGCCGTGCAGCCGACCGCCCAGCCGCCGAGCCGCCCAGCTGCCGAGCCGCCCAGCCGCCGAGCCGCCCAGCCGCCGAGCCGCCCAGCGGCCGAGCCGCCCTGCAGCCGAGCCGCCCGAGCAGCCCTGTCCGGTGAGCACAGACCCTCTGTCACTGCGTGCTCTTCCCCTACTCCTTGCACTGCTGGTCTACTGCTGTCATGGCTACCCCTAGTGTCCTCACTTTTGACGCTGAGGGTCGGGCCATTGACTTTGAGGTCTGGGTAGATGACCTACAGCTGTTCTTACAGTGCGATAGGGCGGACGGCCTCTCTCTCTTTGACCTCACCTCTGGCGCTTCCCCTGCCCCTGCTGCTGATGCTGACGCCACTGTTCGCTCCCAGTGGGCCACGCGCGATGCTGCTGCATGTCTTGCTGTGCGTCGCCACCTCCCTACCTCCGAGCGTGCGCACTTTAGTCAGTACAAGAGTGCTCAGACCTTGTACGCCGCTGTAGTCGCGCGCTACTCCTCCCCTTCCACTGCTGCACTGAGCCGTCTCATGCTGCCGTACCTCTTCCCTGACCTTGCTTCTTTTCCCACCGTTGCTGACCTCATTACGCACCTCCGCACTAGTGACACTCGCTACCGCGCTGCACTTCCTGCTGACTTCTGCACCGCGAACCCCCCCCCCCATGTACATCACTCTGTACTTCCTAGTCACTCGCCTCCCTGACTCCCTTCGAGTAGTCAGGGACCACTTTCTCTCAGTCTGTCCCACCACACTCACTGTAGACCTCCTCGAGAAGGCCCTCCTCGCGATAGAAAAGAGCATAGTCGCTGTAGGAGCCTCTCGAGGTGACCCGCGCACCCCCATCTTTGAGGGGTGTTCTCCCTCCCCCCTGCTGCCCTCTGTTGCCTCTGCTGCTTCGGCCGACCTCCTTGGTCTTGAGTCGGTCGGTGCGGCGTCTGCCCCTAGCGGGAGACGCCGCCCTGGCAAGGGCAAGGGGGGCAAGGGAGCTGGAGGAGCGGGCGGTGGAGGTGGAGGTGGAGGCAGTGGGGGGAGTGGGGGTAGCGGTGGAGGTGGAGGTGGGGGTGGGGGGTTCGGTGGCGGCAGTGGAGGCGGAGGCCGCGGCGGCGGTGGCGGTGGTAGCGGAGGTGGCGGAGGAGGCGGCGGTGGACGAGGCGGTGGAGGCGGCGGCGGCAGTGGAGGCAGCGGAGGCGGTGGAGGCGGTGGGGGTGGCGGTGGAGCTGGTCGCGGGTCTTTGCAGAGGAGTGGCTCCGGTGGTGGCTCGCGCCAGCAGCAGCAGCGTGGTCGTGCGACCCTGTCCCCTCAGCAGCTCCGTGAGTGGTACACTGCACGCCAGCGGGGTGGGGGTTTTTGTCCGTGTACCTACGTCCTGCGCACCGGCGACCGTGCGGGTGAGCAGTGTGGGGGTGCGCACCCCACTCCGCGCTGCTTTGGCCGCCTGACGGACGCATGGCGTCACCAGTTCCCGGAGGCCTCCGAGATCCCTCGCTGGGACGAGCTGTCTAGGGCGGGGGTTGCCATCTTTGATCTGGACTTTGATGCTATTCTCTCTGCCATGTATGCTGTGTCTATTAGTGATGAGGGTGACTGTTACCGGTGTTTCCAGCCCGATCCGGGCATTGAGACTGCTGCTCTAGGTACTGGTGAGGCTGCTGCCCTAGGTGCTTACGACGCTGCTGCTCTAGGTGCTGGTGTGTCTGCGTCCTCAGGTACTGGTGAGTCTGCTCTCTCAGGTACCGCGTCGGCTTCGGCCTCCCTCACCTTCACTCTTGACTATGGGGCGTCTCGCTCCTTCTTTCGGGACCGCACCACACTCACGCCGCTTAGTCGGCCGGTTGCGGTGTCTCTGGCTGACCCCTCTGGGGGTCCGGTCCTGTCTCGTTTCTCCACAGTCCTCCCGTGTCCGGCGGCTCCCTCTGGCACCCTGTCTGGTCTCTACCTCCCCTCGTTCTCGACGAACCTGGTGAGTGGTGCTGACCTACAGGATGCGGGTGTCCACCAGTTCACTCCTGCACGTCAGCGAGTGACCCACTGTACAGAGGCTGGCACAGGCCGACACCTGGCTACGTTCACCCGTCAGCCGGGGTCGAGCCTGTACACTCTGACCACTGCGTCTCCTCCAGTTGCTGAGTCTGGTAGGGTAGTTACGTCGGGTCAGGTGTTTGCTGCGGCGTCCAGGTCTGGTCCTGAGTCTGCCCCCTGTTCGTGTCGTCTCCTGTCTCACGAGACTCTCCTCTGGCACCACCGCCTTGGCCACCCCTCTCTGCTTCGGCTCAGAGGTATGGCCTCCCGTCTTCTTGTGTCCGGTCTCCCCCGGTCCCTCCCTCCCCTTCCTCAGGGCCCTGGCCCTACCTGTGTCCCCTGTGTCGAGGGGCGCCAGCGTGCTGCCCCTCACTCCTCCCAGTTTCCTTCGACAGAGGCCCCGTTGCAGACACTTCACATGGACGTGTGGGGCCCAGCCCGCGTCCGTGGACAGGGTCACGAGCGCTACTTCCTGCTCGTTGTTGACGACTACTCGCGTTACACCACAGTCTTCCCCTTGCGCAGCAAGGGTGATGTCACTGAGGTGCTGATCGACTGGATCCGCGCAGCTCGTCTCCAGCTCAGGCAGAGCTTCGGCTCGGACTTTCCTGTTCTGCGTGCCTACTGTCGTGCACGGGGCATCCGTCAGACCTTCACGCTTCCGGACTCACCGCAGCAAAATGGGATTGCTGAGCGCCGCATTGGCATGGTCATGGACGTCGCTCGTACGTCTATGATGCATGCGGCTGCCCCCCATTTTCTGTGGCCGTTTGCGGTGAGGTACGCGGCGCATCAGATCAACCTCCACCCCAGGGTCTCCAGGCCGGAGACCTCCCCAGCCTTGCTGTGGACGGGAAAGGTTGGCGATGCGTCGGCGTTCCGGGTCTGGGGATCTCGGGCGTTTGTCCGCGACCTGTCTGCGGACAAACTATCCCCTCGTGCTGCTCCTTGCGTCTTCCTGGGGTTCCCCCCTGACGCGCCTGGGTGGCAGTTTTACCACCCCACCTCTCGCCGTGTTCTGTCCTCCCAGGACGTCACGTTTGACGAGTCGGTCCCCTACTACCGCCTCTTCCCCTACCGCACTCCGTCCCTCCCCCCACCCCCACTCTTCCTGGTACCAGGTCCCCCCCAGGTAGACCCCCTCCCCCCTCAGGGTCCTGCCCCTTCAGGTGTGTCCCAGGTAGACGCAGTCGAGCCTGTCGAGGTCACTGGTGACTCTGGTGCTGCTGAGGGTGCTGAGGCTGGGGGTGCTGTACCTGGGGGTGCGGAGCCTAGGGGTGCTGGGCCTGGGGGTGCTACGTCTGGGGGTGCTGAGCCTAGGGGTGCTGAGCCTAGGGGTGCTGAGCCTGGGGGTGCTGAGCCTGGGGGTGCTGAGCCTAGGGGTGCTGAGCCTGGGGGTGCTGAGCCTAGGGGTGCTGAGCCTGGGGGTGCTACGTCTGGGGGTGCTGAGCCTAGGGGTGCTACGCCTGGGGGTGCTGAGCCTGGAGGTGCTCCGCCTGGAGGTTCTCCGAGTGCTTCGTCTCGCCGGGAGCCACTTTCTCCACAGGAGCTGCGTGAGTGGTTTGCCCGGCGCTGGAGGCGTGCTGCTGGTGCTGGAGGTCCTTCGGCTGCTGAGGGTGCTGCGGTCGCGGGTCCCGGAGGTGCTCGTCCTGGGTGCACTGGAGCTGGTGCTGCTGAGGGTGTTGGCGCTGAGACTACCGCTGGCAGTCCTACTGGGGGTGCTCCTGGTGCTGCTGGAGGTTCTGGAGCTACTGGTGGTGCTGCTGGAGCGGGTGCTCCTGCTGAGGGTTCTGGTGCTGTCCCTGCTGCTTCTAGCGTCGCCGCGCGGCCTCGACCGTACTTCGTTCCACTCCTGCAGCAGGTTCTTGGTCTTCCACCTTCTACTGGTCCTCCTCCTCCCTTAGAGTGTCCACAGCCTGTCTCGTCCCAGCTACAGTTGCAGCCTACCTCCCCTTTGCCTGCTCCTTCTCCCTACACTGGTCCTACTGGAGGTCTGGCTGAGCGTCGTGAGCCTGCGTCTCGCCCTGCGTCGCCTGTCCGTGCTGCTCGCACTAGTGGTCGCGGTTCGCGTCAGCGTCCTCCTCCTGTCCCTGGCACGCACCGGATGTCTCTGCGTCCGTCCACTGCTCCTCTGCGTGCCCCTTTGCCTTCTCCTCCTGAGTCCTCTCTTCCTGCTCTTGCCGACCCGGAGTCGGACTCTCTTCGTGCTGCCAGTCCTACTGTCACGCGTCTCCTTGCTACTGTTGTCACTGACCCTTCTTTCGAGTCTACTGCTGCGTCTGCTCTCGTTACTGAGCTCGTCGACTTTGCTGCTCGCTGTCGCTTAGACTACGCTGCTAGTCTTATCGCTGAGTCTGAGTCTGTCTGTCCTCCGTCCGTCGGGGGTGAGTGTGCCCTTGGCACGGACGTCCTTGAGGACAGGCAGGAGGAGTTCCAGTGTCTGGCAGCTGCCTCACCTCATCTCGTGTCCGTACTGCTTACCCCTGAGGGAGACCCGGATGCACTTGACATCCCGACTCCGCGCTCTTACGCGGAGGCGATAGAGGGTCCCTACTCCTCTCAGTGGCAGGCAGCTATGGATGCAGAGATGGCTTCCTGGAAGTCCACAGGCACCTACGTTGTCCCCCCTCCTGGGGCGAACATCGTCAGTGGCATGTGGATCTTCAGGGTGAAGCGGCCGCCGGGTTCTCCGCCTGTCTTCAAGGCGCGTTACGTGGCTCGTGGCTTCAGTCAGCGGCAGGGAGTTGACTACTTTCAGACCTTCTCCCCCACCCCGAAGATGACCACTCTTCGGGTACTGCTGCACGTTGCTGCTCACCGTGACTACGAGCTGCACTCTCTTGACTTCAGCACAGCTTTCTTGCAAGGCAGCCTGCACGAGGAGATCTGGCTGCGTCGCCCACCTGGCTTCACTGGGTCTTTCCCTCCTGGTACCCAGTGGAGTCTCCGGCGTCCAGTCTACGGTCTCCGCCAGGCGCCACGTGAGTGGCACGACACACTGAGGACTACGCTTGCGGCTCTTGGGTTTGCTCCTTCTACTGCCGACCCGTCGCTGTTTCTACGCACCGACACCTCTCTGCCGCCGTTCTACATCCTCGTGTACGTCGACGACTTGGTCTTTGCCACAGCTGACACTGCTGGACTCGCCTACGTGAAGTCCGAGCTGCAGAAGAGACACACGTGCACAGACCTGGGTGAACTGCGCAGCTACCTTGGCTTGCAGATCACCCGGGACAGAGCACGCCGCACCATTACCCTGACTCAGTCACACATGGTGCAGCAGGTCCTTCAGCGCTTCGGCTTCACGTACTCCTCGCCTCAGGCCACTCCTCTGTCTACTCGCCACTCGCTCTCAGCTCTGCCTTCGGATGAGTCCGTAGAGTCGAGTGGCCCGTACCCAGAGCTTGTTGGCTGCCTCATGTACCTGATGACCTGCACACGACCTGACCTTGCATACCCTCTTAGCATTCTTGCACGCTATGTTGCTCCTGGGAGACACAGACTAGAGCACATGGCTGCAGCGAAGAGGGTGTTGCGCTACTTGTGCAGTACGTCGGGCATGGGGCTAGTGCTTGGAGGGCGGAGTCCAGTGGTCCTCACTGGGCACGCGGACGCTTCTTGGGCTGACGACCAGGCTACGCAGCGGTCGTCACAGGGTTACACCTTCAGCCTTGGTTCCGGCTCTGTTTCGTGGCGGGCTACTCGCTCGTCTTCTGTTCTTGGCTCGAGTTGTGAGGCTGAGATCTACGCCGGGGCCATGGCTGCACAGGAGCTTCGCTGGCTCACCTACCTGCTGACCGACCTTGGAGAGCCGCCTCGTTCTCCTCCAGTCCTGTACGAAGACAACAAGGCCATGCTGGCCTTGTGTCGAGAGCAGCGACTGGAGCACAGAACAAAGCACATTGCTCTCCGCTACTTCCTTGCTCGTGAGCTACAGCAACGTGGACAGTTGCGGCTTGCGTACGTGGCCTCTGAGGCCAACACTGCTGATGTCTTCACCAAGGCACTTCCGCCTTGTGATCATCAGCGCTTCTGCACTCAGCTGGGTCTTGTGCCCGTCTTGCCTCACTTGCTCTCCTCTTGACCTTGCTTGTACTCTCACATATATATATACCTGCTCTTGCTTGTCTAGCTTTATATATATGTGTGTACTCTTGCATGTGAACTGGCCGTGTGGCCTTGACCCTGTGCTCGGACTGTGTGGTGACTTTGTGATCCACCCTGAGCTTGCTTTGCTTTGCTTTGCTTGACTGGTCTTGTGACCCCTTGTTCTCCCCCACTTTGCCTATGGGGGTGTGTCAGAACATTGTGGCTTATGCTGTTGTGTAGGCTATAGTGGGGTATCCCATAGGGGGTACAACCAATGAGGGTTTCATATTTGTACTCACTTCATTTCATAGTCCATCCATTCTCGTTCTCATTTTCACAGCGCCTTCAGTAACAACTCACATGGGCAGGCGCCTTCAGTAACAACTCGCCTAGGCAGGCGCCTTCAGTAACAACTCGCCTAGGCAGGCGCCTTCAGTAACATCTTGCCTAGGCAGGCGCCTTCAGTAACAACTCACCTAGGCAGGCGCCTTCAGTAACAACTCACCTAGGCAGGCGCCTTCAGTAACAACTCACCTAGGCAAGCGCCTTTAGTAACAACTCACCTAGGCACGCGCCTTCAGAAACAACTCACCTAGGCAGGCGCCTTCAGCAACAACTCACCTAGGCAGGCGCCTTCAGCAATACCTCACCAAGGCAGGCGCCTTCAGCAACAACTCACCTAGGCAGGCGCCTTCAGTAAAAGCTCACCTAGTCAGGCGCCTTCAGTAACAACTCACCCAGGCAGGAGCCTTCAGTAACAACTCACCTAGGCAGGCGCCTTCAGTAAAAGCTCACCCAGGCAGGCGCCTTCAGTAACAACTCACCCAGGCAGGCGCCTTCAGTAACAACTCACCTAAGCAGGCGCCTTCAGTAACAACTCACCCAGGCAGGCGCCTTCAGTAACAACTCACCTAGGCAGGCGCCTTCAGTAACAACTCACCTAGGCAAGCGCCTTCAGTAACAACTCCCCTAGGCAGGCGCCTTCAGTAACAACTCGCCTAGGCAGGCGCCTTCATTAACATCGCCTAGGCAGGCGCCTTCAGTAACAACTCGCCTAGGCCGGCGCCTTCAGTAACAACTCACCTCGGCAGGCGCCTTCAGTAACAACTCACTTAGGCAGGCGCCTAAAGAAACAACTCGCCTAGGCAGGCGCCTTCAGTAACAACTCGCCTAAGCAGGCGCCTTCAGTAAGAACTCACATAGGTAGGCGCCTTCAGTAACAACTCGCCTAGGCAGGCGCCTTCAGTAACAAATTGCCTAGGCAGGCGCCTTCAGTAACAACTCACATAGGCAAGCGCCTTCAGTAATAACTCACCGAGGCAGGCGCCTTCAGTAACAACTCACGTAGGCAGGCGCCTTCAGTAACAACTCATCTAGGCAGGCGCCTTCAGTAACAACTCACCTAGGCAGGCGCCTTCAGTAACAACTCACCTAGGGAGGCGCCTAGAGTAACAACTCACCTAGGCAGGTGCCTTCAGTAACAGCTCACCTAGGCAGGCGCCTTCAGTAACAACTCACCTAGGCAGGCGCCTTCAGTAACAACTCACCTACGCAGGCGCCTTCAGTAACAACTCACCTAGGCAGGCGCCTTCAGTAACAACTCACCTAGGCATGCGCCTTCAGTAACAACTCACCTAGGCAGGCGCCTTCAGTAACAACTCACCTAGGAAGGCACCTTCAGTAACAACTCACCTAGGCAGGCGCCTTCAGTAACAACTCACCCAAGCAGGCGCCTTACTAACAACTCACCTAGGCAAGCGCCTTCAGTAACAACTCCCCTAGGCAGGCGGCTTCAGTAACAACTCACCTACGCAGGCGCCTTCAGTAACAACTCACCTAGGCAGGCGCCTTCAGTAACAACTCACCTAGGCAGGCGCCTTCAGTAAAAACTCACCTAGGCAGGCGCCTTCAGTAACAACTCACCTAGGTAGGCGCCTTCAGTAACAACTCACCTAGGCAGGCGCCTTCAGTAACAACTCACCCAGGCAGGCGCCTTCAGTAACAACTCACCTAGGCAAGCGCCTTCAGTAACAACTCCCCTAGGCAGGCGCCTTCAGTAACAACTCACCTAGGCAGGCGCCTTCAGTAAAAACTCGCCTAGGCAGGCGCCCTCAGTAACAACTCACCTAGGCAGGCGCCTTCAGTAACAACTCACTTAGGCAGGCGCCTTCAGTAACAACTCGCCTAGGCAGGCGCCTTCAGTAACAACTCGCCTAGGCAGGCGCCCTCAGTAACAACTCACCTAGGCCGGCGCCTTCAGTAACAACTCGCCTAGGCAGGCGCCTTCAGTAACAACTCACTTAGGCTGGCGCCTTCAGTAACAACTCACCTAGGCAGGCGCCTTCAGTAAAAACTCACCTAGGCAGGCGCCTTCAGTAACAACTCACCTAGGTAGGCGCCTTCAGTAACAACTCACCTAGGCAGGCGCCTTCAGTAACATCTTGCCTAGGCAGGCGCCTTCAGTAACAACTCACCTAGGCAGGCGCCTTCAGTAACAACTCACCTAGGCAGGCGCCTTCAGTAACAACTCACCTAGGCAAGCGCCTTTAGTAACAACTCACCTAGGCACGCGCCTTCAGAAACAACTCACCTAGGCAGGCGCCTTCAGCAACAACTCACCTAGGCAGGCGCCTTCAGCAATACCTCACCAAGGCAGGCGCCTTCAGCAACAACTCACCTAGGCAGGCGCCTTCAGTAAAAGCTCACCTAGTCAGGCGCCTTCAGTAACAACTCACCCAGGCAGGAGCCTTCAGTAACAACTCACCTAGGCAGGCGCCTTCAGTAAAAGCTCACCCAGGCAGGCGCCTTCAGTAACAACTCACCCAGGCAGGCGCCTTCAGTAACAACTCACCTAAGCAGGCGCCTTCAGTAACAACTCACCCAGGCAGGCGCCTTCAGTAACAACTCACCTAGGCAGGCGCCTTCAGTAACAACTCACCTAGGCAAGCGCCTTCAGTAACAACTCCCCTAGGCAGGCGCCTTCAGTAACAACTCGCCTAGGCAGGCGCCTTCATTAACATCGCCTAGGCAGGCGCCTTCAGTAACAACTCGCCTAGGCCGGCGCCTTCAGTAACAATTCACCTCGGCAGGCGCCTTCAGTAACAACTCACTTAGGCAGGCGCCTAAAGAAACAACTCGCCTAGGCAGGCGCCTTCAGTAACAACTCGCCTAAGCAGGCGCCTTCAGTAAGAACTCACATAGGTAGGCGCCTTCAGTAACAACTCGCCTAGGCAGGCGCCTTCAGTAACAACTTGCCTAGGCAGGCGCCTTCAGTAACAACTCACATAGGCAAGCGCCTTCAGTAATAACTCACCGAGGCAGGCGCCTTCAGTAACAACTCACGTAGGCAGGCGCCTTCAGTAACAACTCATCTAGGCAGGCGCCTTCAGTAACAACTCACCTAGGCAGGCGCCTTCAGTAACAACTCACCTAGGGAGGCGCCTAGAGTAACAACTCACCTAGGCAGGTGCCTTCAGTAACAACTCACCTAGGCAGGCGCCTTCAGTAACAACTCACCTACGCAGGCGCCTTCAGTAACAACTCACCTAGGCAGGCGCCTTCAGTAACAACTCACCTAGGCAGGCGCCTTCAGTAACAACTCACCTAGGCAGGCGCCTTCAGTAAAAACTCACCTAGGCAGGCGCCTTCAGTAACAACTCACCTAGGTAGGCGCCTTCAGTAACAACTCACCTAGGCAGGCGCCTTCAGTAACAACTCACCCAGGCAGGCGCCTTCAGTAACAACTCACCTAGGCAAGCGCCTTCAGTAACAACTCCCCTAGGCAGGCGCCTTCAGTAACAACTCACCTAGGCAGGCGCCTTCAGTAAAAACTCGCCTAGGCAGGCGCCCTCAGTAACAACTCACCTAGGCAGGCGCCTTCAGTAACAACTCACTTAGGCAGGCGCCTTCAGTAACAACTCGCCTAGGCAGGCGCCTTCAGTAACAACTCGCCTAGGCAGGCGCCCTCAGTAACAACTCACCTAGGCCGGCGCCTTCAGTAACAACTCGCCTAGGCAGGCGCCTTCAGTAACAACTCACTTAGGCAGGCGCCTTAAGAAACAACTCGCCTAGGCAGGCGCCTTCAGTAACAACTCGCCAAAGCAGGCGCCTTCAGTAACAACTCCCCTAGGCAGGCGCCTTCAGTAACAACTCGCCTAGGCAGGCGCCTTCATTAACATCGCCTAGGCAGGCGCCTTCAGTAACAACTCGCCTAGGCCGGCGCCTTCAGTAACAACTCACCTCGGCAGGCGCCTTCAGTAACAACTCACTTAGGCAGGCGCCTAAAGAAACAACTCGCCTAGGCAGGCGCCTTCAGTAACAACTCGCCTAAGCAGGCGCCTTCAGTAAGAACTCACATAGGTAGGCGCCTTCAGTAACAACTCGCCTAGGCAGGCGCCTTCAGTAACAACTTGCCTAGGCAGGCGCCTTCAGTAACAACTCACATAGGCAAGCGCCTTCAGTAATAACTCACCGAGGCAGGCGCCTTCAGTAACAACTCACGTAGGCAGGCGCCTTCAGTAACAACTCATCTAGGCAGGCGCCTTCAGTAACAACTCACCTAGGCAGGCGCCTTCAGTAACAACTCACCTAGGGAGGCGCCTAGAGTAACAACTCACCTAGGCAGGTGCCTTCAGTAACAGCTCACCTAGGCAGGCGCCTTCAGTAACAACTCACCTAGGCAGGCGCCTTCAGTAACAACTCCCCTAGGCAGGCGCCTTCAGTAACAACTCGCCTAGGCAGGCGCCTTCATTAACATCGCCTAGGCAGGCGCCTTCAGTAACAACTCGCCTAGGCCGGCGCCTTCAGTAACAACTCACCTCGGCAGGCGCCTTCAGTAACAACTCACTTAGGCAGGCGCCTAAAGAAACAACTCGCCTAGGCAGGCGCCTTCAGTAACAACTCGCCTAAGCAGGCGCCTTCAGTAAGAACTCACATAGGTAGGCGCCTTCAGTAACAACTCGCCTAGGCAGGCGCCTTCAGTAACAACTTGCCTAG